GTGTGTGTGTGTGTGTGTGCGTTTATGTACATAATTTGAAAAGCGACATAGCATGGGGTAGGAATGTGCAGAAAAACATGAATATGTTGCATCAACTAATAGTTATTGCTAATTAAACGTGGTTATGCACACACATAAACACACACACACACACATACACACACACACAAACACACACACACACACGTACACACACACACGTACACACATACACATACACACACACGTACACACACACTTACACATACAGATACACACACTCGCACGTATGCACACAGACACACTTACGCACGCACGAACAAAGATACATGCTCACAGATTTGCACGCATACATGCGCGCGTATCTTCTAAGAATAGAGCACCCGCATATACATCCACCCACCCACGCACACTTTTACACACACACACACACACACACACACACACACACACACACACACACACACATACATACACACTCACACACACATACACGCGCGCGCAAGTACACACACACACACACACACACACACACACACACACAACACACACAACACACACAACACACACACATACGTACACGGATACATGTCAACAGAACAATATACATGTGCACGTATCTTTTCACAACAGTCACTATTTTGAAGGCACGTGAAATCATTTCTTGTAAAAAGAAGAATCTTTAATTTGCATCAAGAAAAGACATAAAAATAAAAAAGCGTAAAGGATCATGATCAAAATGCATATAGATCTACATGAAATAAAGAACAAACCGACTTATAACATTGATGTTGATGATGATGATGATGATGGTGATGATGATTGATGGATTGATTGATTGATTGAGTAGGTGTTTTAATGCACTATCGACTCAATTTTGGTCATGTAAGTGCCAATGATGATGATGATGATGATGATGATGATGATGATGATGATGCTGCTGCTGATGATGATGATGATGATGATGATGATGATGATAAAATTGATGATTTTTTGTGGTTTCCTTAATGGGGCCTGGTGGACTCCACGAAGAAATCTTCGAACGAGAGCAAGGCTCGTTTTCGCCTCAATTGTCATTATACTTAGCGGCACCTCCCTCGTCCAAATAACTCCATTCGAATTCCCTTTGTTCCTGGACATTCAGACATAATATGTGAGGCAGCGTGGTGGAATCAGGCTCTCGTCAATTTTTGGGCTTGTAGAGTTATTGGTATAATCGTAAAGCTTGTTCACTCGTGTTTATTTGGAAGAAAAAATATCCATTTATCTAGAATACAAGTCGAGATATTTGCGAATGAAAGAGGTGGGGTCACCTGTTTTCAGAGGTAAAATTTGCGAGAAAGTGGCCGCCAAAGATTAGTTATTTCCTTAGCTTAAGAGTCCGTGGTAAATGAAAATTTACTTTTTTGTGCCTTTAATCAACGGTTTTTTTTTCAGAAAAAATCCACACAGAAATGAGTTCTGTAATGGGCATGAAAGGTGTTGAGCCAAAAACCAAAAATTTGATTAAAATTCACAAACCAACAGAAAACAGCAAGTTTCTTCACTTTGATTATTTTGACGAGAGCCTGATTCCACCACGCTGCCTCACATATGTTTGATATCCTTCTTCTCATGGCGCATCTTCGGCAACATGGGCTGACCTTTTCCTTCACAAAGTTCTTATACCATCTCAAGCTCCAAAGATGGTCCGACCGCAGTCTCGCTAGCTCAACCTGGTCCCAGCGACATGTGATATTTTGTTCTTGCTTACTGGAGTACCCAGAATACACATCTTCTAGGTGCTGGTACTTAGCTCTGCATGGTGGGTGTCTGTTTCCCTCCTGAAAGACTCCTCTGTATGTTGTTGGCCGTCTGTCTCCTTCAATCTCTCTGGCTTCATTTGCAGCTTGGTCTGCTGCCTCATTTCCTTCGATTCCAATACGGCTTGAACTGAACTTGCGGCGCAAATAATTTATGTATGAGCTGTTGCCTAGCAGTCCCTTACTGAGGGACTGACTGTCAGTCAAGATCAGCACATTGGTTCTACTGTGGCAATTGTCAGCAATCCATTGCGCAGCAGATATCATTGCCTGGCATTCCTCATCATAAGATGATGTAAGGAATGCACCTTTAGTTTTTATGATTTCTCCATTAGAAATGAGGAAGCTCTGATGATGATGATGATGATGATGATGATGATGATGATGATAATAATGATAATAATGATACATTGTTTCTCTTTTCCGTGATTCTGTTCAGCTCACGGTCACCCCCCCC